GCGTCGGCGGCGTGCTGGGAGGTCTCGATGAGCTTGAGGGCAAGGGCAGCGTCTTGACGCCATACCGCTCGTGCTATCCCACGAGCAACCAGCTGAAGCGTCCCAGGCAGGTCAGGGGCCGAGAAGAAGAGGATGTCGCGGGCCTCCCTGGCGGCCTCCTTCATCATGTACTTGTAGTGCTCTGTAGCCACCGGTGGGCTCCATCGGAGCAGATCCTCATCACCATCAGCAACCATTCCTCGGAGACGGCGCTGGAAAGCAACAGAGGTGAAGATGTGCTTGGGGATGGGCCGCTCAGCAGCGGGACGCACACCCCGAAGACGCAGCCGAATCGAGAGAGCAGCATGATCCGAGATGCCCATGGAGCACAGGTGCTCAGGCGTGTCCACGGTGTTAACCTCAGTCATGAGCTGACACATCATCCAGCCTGTGGCAGAACAGAAGAAGCGGTCGATGATGTTGATGGAATTGGTGAACTTGCAGAAATGGGTCGCCGCTTCCGAGTTGATCTCCATCATCTTGCCAAGTGTAGCCGCCCAGATTGGAGCATGTACTTTATGATCATGAGTCAACTGGCGCTGTACTCCAGTAGGTCGGTGAAAGATGAGAGAAGAATCGTAACTGTAGTTGAGATCCCCCAAGACAACCACAAAGTACGAGAGTGGGTCATCAGCAGCGCGACGCAGAGCACAATCGATCTGCTCACAGACAGATTGTACCTCCCCCTTGGTCAAGCCGTGATTGTGAACGTTGAAGATCACCAGCTGTGTCTGCCCAAGTGCTACATCAACACGAAGCACCCTGCCTCTGATCAGAGGCACCGCACAGCTACTGACCGAAGTGGATGAGAAAGGAGGAAGAATGACTGCAACTCCCCCAGAGCCGCGGACAACCTCGCCGTCGTCATCTTCACAAAAGCTACTGTGGACAATGGCCGTGGAAGAAAGCCTGGCCACAAAGTCGTTCAGCTCAAATCGATCTGCATGCACTTCTTGGAGAGCCAAGATGGATCGCCCAGGTTGAAGTTTGCTTAGGTAAGATAGCTTAGGCGAGGCTTTCGCCCCACCAAATTGGAGAAGAGCGCGTGCATTCCAAGTCATGAATGTGAGGCTGGCTGTGATCTCTCCGCCGACCTGCCCCACTGGAAGCACAAACATATCAGTGATGGCGTCAAAGACACCACTGGGTGGCCGACGGCGCGGCGGAGGAGGAGGAGGAGGAGGAGGAGGTGTACGGATCCTCCTCGTCAAGTGCCGTTTTGGCTCGCTAGTCATTCGAAGTACATGCGTTGACTCGCATGTGCTGCACGTTGTGTGGGTCTGCTTGTACGGCGGGCGCGCGCGCCAATGCTGTTGTGCCTCCGACGGAGGCGTGATCAATATGTTACCTAACAGCGAAGACTGATAGGTTTCTAATGGAATCAAAAGAGAACATCTGATGACTCCCCAGAGGGGGTCTGGGCGGGAGCCGGACAGGCGAGAACCGGGCTCGTTTTAAGCAAACAGTCACACACTTCGTGCTCTTCGACCTCCCAGAACTCCATTCCCGGGCCACATTTTGGATGCCCGGAGCCAACTGTAGGCCACTTCGTGCTCTTCGACTTCCCAGAACTCCATTCCCGGGCCACATTTTGGATGCCCGGAGCTAACTGTAAGCCACTTCGTGCTCTTGGACTTCCCAGAACACCATTCCCGGGCCACATTTTGAATGCCCGGAGCCAACTGTAGACCACTTCGTGTTCTTCCACTTCCCAGGACTTCACTCCCGGGCCACATTTTGAATGCCCGGAGCCAACTGTACGCCACTTCGTGTTCTTCCACTTCCCAGACTTCCAAGACTCATCCTCATCATCATCATCATCATCATCATCATCATCATCATCGTCCCCGTAGCCTTCTTGGCTACAGCCCTGCTTTCGAAGAGTTCCTTTCAAAGGAACTGCGCAGCGCCTACTGCACACCTCAATGCCAGGACATGATAGTTCTCGGTCTGGCGGCGGTGCTCCTGACCCTGCTGCATTGAACAGCGGTGCTCCTCAGCCTGCGGCAAGGAACAGCGCTGCTCCTCAGCGTGCTGCATTGAGCGGTACTCTGCAAACGCTCGTCGAGGCACTGCTCCCATCACTCCTACTCGTTCACTCCACACACTACAACTACTACTTCATTGTTACCACTACTACCATCACTACTACTTCTACTGCTACTACTACTGTTACTATTACTGCTGCTGCTGTTGCTGCTGCTAGTGTAGATATTGCTACTGCAACTACTGGCAGTGCCACTGCGACTGCCGCTGATGTTGCCACTGCGACTGCCACTGCGAATCCGAATGCGACTGCGAGAACACCAGAATTCTACAACAGCACTCTTACATTAATACCACAGGCAATGTTTCCAGCTATGCTTCTACACATCGCTGTTAGGTTGCTTTGCCGGGATAATTTTGTTGTTGGCGGCCGTGTTTCTGAATATCGGGTTGGACGGCGTCTTTGCTTGATTCACACGTGTTGGGGGCTCACAATGGAATGTGGAATTGCCCCTGTGGCAAACTGCTTTTCTGAACACCCCCCACAGGGTGGAGCTTACTCATGTGGACCATGATCTGTGGATGCACGAAAGCTGACCCGGACGCTGGCCAGCGTCTACCAGGAGGCTAACCATGGTAGCTGGACATAATGATATTATGCAGGACTGCGGGCCTTGCCGCTGGGCTATGTCCTCCAGGCGAGTGCCTCACGACGTGCGTGCATAATCTGTAAATGCACGAAAGCTGGCCTGGACGCTGGCCAGCGTCTAACAGGAGACAAGCCATGGTAGTCGGACAGAAGGAGATTGTGCAGGACTGCCGGCCTTGCCGCCGGACTGTGTCCTTGAGGCAATTTCCTTGCGCCATGCTTGCATAATCTGTGGATGCACGCAAGCTGAAACTGAAGCTGGTCAGCCTCTGATACGAGATAACCATGGTAGCCAGGTGCGATTGTGCAGGACTGCCGGCCTTGTCGCCGGGCTGTGTCCTTGAGGCGAATGCCTCGCGACGTGCGTTCAAAATCTGTGGACGCACGAGGGCTGGCCCTGACGCTGGCCATCGACGGATAGAAGACAACCCATGGTAGCCGCAAAGAGTGAGACTGTGCAACGCTGCCGGCCTTGCCGCTAACCAGGATGAGATTATGCAGGACTGCCGGCCTTGCCGCCGGGCTGTGTCCCTGAGGCAAATGCCTCGCGACATGCTTGCAGAATCTGTGGATGCACGAAAGCTGGAACTGAAGCTGGCCAGCCTCTGATAGGATATAACTATGGTAGCCAGGTGCGATTGTGCAGGACTGCCGGCCTGGCCGCCAGGCTGTGTCATTGAGGCGAATGCCTCGCGACGTGCGTTCATAAACTGTGGACGCACGAAAGCTGGCCCTGACGCTGGCCATCGACGACTAATAGAAGACAACCCGTGGTAGCCGCAAAAAGTGAGACTGCGCAGGACAGCGGGCCTTGCCGCAGGGCTGTGTCCTTGAGGCGAATGCCTCGCGACATGCTTGCGTAAACAGTGGAAACACGTAGGCTGAAACTGAAACTGGCCGGCGCCAGATAGGAGATAACCATGGCAACAAAGTGCACTTGAGCAGGACTGCCGGCCTTGACGCCGGGCTGTGTCCTTGAGGCGAATGCCTCGCGACGTGCGTTCATAAACTGTGGGCGCACGGAAGCTGGCCCTGACGCTGGCCAGCGCCGAATGGGAGACAAACCGTGGTAGCCACAAAGAGTGAGCCTGCGCAGGACTGCTGGCCTTGCCGCCAGTCTGTGTCCTTGAGGCGAATGCCTCGCGACATGCTTGCATTATCTGCGAATGCACAAACAACTGACAATGAAATGAAACAGAGACAACCATGGTAGCCGCGCAGAAAGATATTGTGCAGGACTGCCGGCCATGCCGCCGGGCTGTGTCCTTGAAGCGAATGCCTCGCGACAAGTGTGCAACACCGCGGTGCGCGACAGCTTGCACGGCCGCTGGCCACCGTCTGCACGGAGGCAAACCATGGTAAGCGGAGAGAGTGAGATTGTGCAGGACCGCCGGCTTGCCGCCGGGCTGTGTCCTTGAGGCGAATGCCTCGCGACGTGCGTGCATAATCTGCGGATGCGCGAAGCCTGGGTCTGCCGCTGGCCTTCGCCTGCGTACGGGGAGCCATGCGTAGCATATGCCCGCGTGCGCCTTCTGATTTAGATTGTGCAAAACCGCCGGCTTGCCGCCGGGCTGTGTCCTTGAGGCGAATGCCTCGCGACGTGCGTGCGTAATCAGTGGATGCGCGAAACGTGGCACTGCCGCTGGCCTTCGCCTGCGCACGGGGAGCCATGCGTAGCATATGTCCGCGTGTGCCTTCTGACAACATTGAGGTACCGTAAGTACCTCTTATGCCGGTGTCGCCCTGGCTTCCTAACCCCAGGGGACATTGTGCAGGTGCTCGTCGGGCGTGCGCCTTGCGCACGCCCTTACCGGCGCCCCATGCGTCCTGCACAACGACCGCCCCCCGGGGCTGCAGAAGCCATCGGCATGGGGAGGAGGAGGAGGAGGAGGAGGAGGAGGAGGAGGAGGACCACCTCCCCCTCCAACTTATGATGGTGGTGGTGGTGGAAAACAAGCCCATCAACAGAGACGTGTCCTGGACCCTGGGGCCTTCCCCCGGGACCGGGCCTTCGTCCTGAATCGTTGTTTGCCTGTCCCGGGCCCCAGGAGGACCAGAACAGTGAAAAACCTCAGGACCAATTTCTGTCGGGACGGTCTTGGGCGGCACGAGACCGAACAGCGTGCCAGACAGGGGCCTCAGCTGGCTGCCGCCCCGCGCAGCCCCAAACACAGAGCACCATGCTCATCAGCATCATTGCCACGATCATCTACTTCCTCCTCCTACTCTTCATCCCCCCTCGTCCTGCTCTTGCCACTCCTCCTCCTCCTCCTCCTCCTCCTCCTCCTCCTCCTCCTCCTCCTCCTCCTCCTCCATTCGTGGCGAC